CTTCTGATGCGCTGGGATGTTTTGAGGGTGCAGTTGTCCAGGTTGGATGAATAGATGGTGTCATTCCTGCAGAGGGTCATAGGGATCGAGAAGGGGGGCTGCCTCTGAGAGACACTGGATTTAGGCAGTGGCAGTTCCCAGCTCCCACCTGGCTCCTGGACAATGGAAGATGCCCCACTGGGGCTGAGCAGTGCTTGGCTTTGTCTGCCTGGCCCCTTCAGCCCAGTTCTCTCCTCCTCTTCTCCCGTCACTCTTTTGTCTTTGTCCTTCCCCACATCCACCCTCAAGAGGTGAGAAATATTTTACTAGCCTGGGAAAGCTGCCCTGTCTCAACACTGCTATTGTTTTTTCTCACTAGCATTGGCTATATTTTGATATGACTGCTTCAAAGCACTTAGCATAACTTCCTTAATGGGTTTAGGCTTTTCGGGAACACAAAAGCTAGACACTATTTCTGCTTGCCACTAATGTCCTTCCCTTGAAGCAATGAATCCCAGGGATTACCTGCTTAAACGGAGCGGGGAGTCTACAGGAGGAGGAAAGGAAGGGTGGAGATACTGAGAGAAAAAAGTTTTCATTAATATTAAAAAATGTTATCCACATCTTTTCCATCTTAAGACCCCTTTGAACTCTTGAGAACCCCAAAGAACTTGTTCATGTGGGCTATGTATATTGATGTTTAATGTATTAGAAATTAAGATGGATGAGTGTGTAAAATATTTACTTATTTATTCATTTAAAAATAACAATAATAAACCCATTACATGTTAACATAAATCACATATTTTTAAACTATAGTTTCTAAAACAAGCAAACAAAAAAGATTCAATGAGAAGAACAGCGTTGTTTAAAATTTTTGTAAATCTTTTTAGTGTCTGGGTTGATAGAAGGCAGGTGGATTCTCATATCTGCCTCTGCACTCACTGTGTTGTGACATCACATGTCATGTAGCCTCTGGAAAACTTCCCTGTACACTTGTGAGCGAACGAGAATGAAAGAGACAAACTATATCTTAGTATTATGCTGAAAAGACCTAGAGGAGGACCTTCCTGGAGGACCTCCAGAAAGGAGTGCTCTTTGAGAACCGTGGTCTTACGTCCTGAAGTACCATCACAGAGCGCCAGAGAGCTGGTCCTGGATGGGCAAGGGCAGGCTCCACGTAAGGGAGGCAGGATAAGTGATGGGTAAGGGCACTAATTTTGGAAGCAGACTCTTTTAGATTTGAATCCCAGCTCCTCACCTTCCTACGGAGTGGCCTTGGGTTACTGAACTTTTCTAAGCCTCAGACTTCCGTCCTATAGATAGAGAACAGTAGAATCTACCTTAGCTGGTTGATGAAAGATAATGAAGTATTTTCCAAACTTCATTAGTCATAACTTTTGCCAAGTCCATGTAAGACCTATACTATCATCCTCTTTACATTTTTCCATAGCTCACTTTTTAAACCTAAATACCTTTTTAAAGGAAATTTTATATCCTTATTACAAATGGAAAACAACTTGCCCTAAATCGAAGGTGCACTAAAAATAAAAAAGACTTGTTGCCAGAGAAAGTGTTAAGCCTAACGCCTGCTCTCCTTTTGTAACGAAAGGAAATAAGACGATGTTAGAATGTTTCTCAAGACCTGCATGAAAGAAACCCTCCCAGATGTGATCAGAAGGAGTCAGAGACTCAGAGAAGGAATAGCTTTCTCATTACTCGATGCAATTTGACCTCTGCCTTGCCCGTGCACCACTAAATCATCTCCCCGACTACCTGAAACCATTTCCTGTATCACCCCACACTTAGGAGACACTGAGATCATGCACGTAAAGCACTTAACTCAATGCTGGCACATGGGAAGGACTCTGCATAGTAGCTTTTGTTATCTTTTCTAATTCTTCCTTTTCTTTTCCCACACAGGTTAAATGACTCACGTAAGCCCATAGTTTTTGGTGGAGGACTATGACTACAATGCCTGTCTTATATCTCCTTGCAGATAAAAGCACGGATGCTGGCACTGGGCTCTGCCACTTTAGAGCTGTGTGACCTTGAGCAAGAAACTCAACCTCTCTGTGCCTCAGTCTTCTCATCAGTAATATGGTGATACAATGGCATCTAAGTTATAAGGTAAGAGCAAATGAGTTAATACATGTAACATGTGTTAACTGTGTAGTAACACACAGAACATGCCTGGCAGGTAGTCAATACTTTACACATATTAGCTAATAGTGTTCCTTCTTTTTCATCAGCTGGTTTGACAGTAGCAGTCATTAACAGACAGGTTACTATAGAGAAGTTTTTCTCAAACTATCCAAGGTAAAGGGCCAGGTTTTATTCCCCCAATCAAAGTGGACTGACACTTTTGTAAATAGAACAAAAATGAATTACTAGAAAAAAGAAATAAAAAAGAAAATATAAAGTACAAGCCTGCTTTTTAATTAGAGTCAATAGACTATATTGAATATATATGTCAATAGATTATATTTCAATAGAGACAATCAGAGAGAAAATAGGAGAAAAAATTACAAAAATTGTTCACTGAAAGCGTGTACAGGCAATTAGTGTTGCTTCAGCACTTTTTTGTCATTCCACATTTGTGACAAAACAAAACGTTATGAAGGTAATAGCAATTCCCCAAATTAAATGCTGATATGCGTACTTGAAACAAACATTTGTACATTAATATTTAAAGTTTTTTCTGTGATAAGTGAGCTTGCTTTTTGCCCGTTAACTTATCTAATCTAGGTTAGATAGATGATAGCGCTACGCAGAGAGGATCGTGTATATCTAAACAGTTTCTATGATTGTTTTAATCACGTTCACAGTAGAGAAACCACTCACACAGAGGTAGGTTGATAAGAAAGGGAAAAGAGAATTTAAAGCAATTTCAGCAAGCTCCAGATACTCATTTTTTACTTCCATCTAAAATGAAGCACATAATGTTGTATATTCAACATTCATTTCCAACCTTCATCAGTAGTCAGTTCCAAAATGGATGCTTTAAAGTTGTAGTTAAATTTAAATTCTCTTCGATAAACAAATGAACAAGATGAATTCTGGATTTTATACACTTTTGGGTTACAGTTGACAAATGAACTTTAAAACATCACTAGTGGTTCTACTGGGAATGGCTGGTATAAAATCTGTGTCACATGTGACTCACCCATTCCAGTTCAACACCTGAACTGCACCCTGTGTCTTAGTTTGTTCAGGCTGCTATAAGAAGATACCATAAGCTGCGTCGCTTAAAAACAACAAACACTTACTTCCCACAGTTCCAGAGGCTGGGAAGTCCAAGTTCCAGGCATTCATACAGGACTTGCTTCTGTTTCACGGATATGCCTTCTCTATGTGTCTTCATGGTGGAAGGGGCAAGGGAGATCTCTGGGGCCTCTGTTATAAGGGTGCTAATCCCATTCGTGAGGGCTCCACCCTCATGACCTAATCACCTCTCAAAGGCCCAACTTCCAAATACCATTACACAGAGGATTAGGTTTCAACATCTGAATTTTGTGGGGAACACAAACATTCCATCTATAGCACACTGTTCAACGAGACTGGTCCTCTGCTGATGCCCTTGCATGTTGTGACAATGTCAAATTGCCATCAAGGTTTCTAAACCATCATTGCTGGTTTCTATACTTACCTTGCTGTGGCTGGGAACAAACCCACAGACCACATTTTGAGTAGCAGTGATACGGAGCACAGTGCTGGAAGGATGAGTTGCATAATTTCAGGAGAATTGTTCTTGGACAGCAGATGATGCTTTAGTTTTTTTTATCAAGACCATTCCCACTTTTGAAGAAGGTAGCTGGCTCCTATTCATACCCTCTCATCTCAGGTGCTAAAGAAATTCTTGAGAGGAACCCCCAGGCCATGAAAGTAATGTTACAGAGTTTACAGAAGAAAGAAAACTAGGGCAGAATTAGTCCTTTCCTCTCAAACTGCAAGCCACAGCCTTCTGTTTATCCTCACAGACATGGGTAGTAATGGTTCACACACGCCTCTGAGCTCCATGAGGGCTGGCACCATGTCGTTTTTAATCCGTAACTGGGGCCCCTAGCACAGAGATGGGTGTATAGCAATCACTCAATAAACATTTGTTCAGTGAGTGGATTCTCAGAAGCTTAGCTGTCTTACATCTCTGTTGGAGTGCTCTGAGGGATAGTTACTGGAGAAAGAACAAATAGGTTAGCGGTACGAAGGATGTATCTATCTATCTTTCCTTTTCTTATCACTTTCCTGGGTTATGATCTCTTGAAAAGCAAACACAACATTCAGGTGTGTTGTCTCCCTTGAAAGCCATTCTGAACTCCAGGCTTTCCCAGAGCAGAAAGACATTTAGATACCGGAATGCTCATTGATTCAGCTGAGCATTTCTAGATGGCCTAGACTCCTTTCTTTCATTCTACTTTCTATCTATCACAGGGGCCATGCCTTAGTCATCTTAGTGTCGCTGCGGCCTCACAGAGGGCCTGGCACACACCTGAGGACCACTGCCTAGTGTGATTAGCACATCTGTGAGGGAGGGGCCAAGTGAATTATCGCAGAGCTTCTCAAAGTTAACGCACATATGAATCACCTGAGGGGCTTGTTAAAATGCAGATTTTGCTTCAGTAGCTCCAGGTGTGCTCCTAGGCGATGCCAATGCTTCTGGTCCATGGGCTACACTTTAAGCAGCAAGCAACCAAGAGGAATAAAAAGAATCTGAACTTCTATTTAGCTGCTTGTTAGCAAATGAAGTAAAAGATGTGGCTAACATGATTTAGGAATGACTCTTAGTGATCTGTAGCTGGCTGTGTGAGAGACACAATGAAAGACCTTTTAAGGAAAGGAAAATAAGTCATGTGGGTCACATGTGACTCCACAATACTCCCTGGGAACTCACAATTGCCTTAGAACAGAAACATGATACCACAACTGTCAATCATCTTTTAAAGCTTGGTGCTCAAATAGCAGGTTCCATGGGGAAACAGAACGCAGTGAAGCAGTCAGGGGATACATTCTTTTGTGTCTTCTGGAACATATGCTGACACTGTCCTTAAAAAAGATTTTTTTTTTTATTGACCACTTGCTACTTATGTCTATTATGATGCTTTGTAAAATTTAAATTAATCCCTCTCTTTCTTTCCAGGCTTCTTCGCTGCCCGAGTCAACAGTGTGGAGTACCAGAACACACCTTTGAGGTCTTGCAAACTTGGGTCATAGTTCCAATGCTGACCCATTTAAGACTGTGTGACCTTAGGCATGAGCCACAGGTTCAAGAGTAAAACGAGATTAACACTACTACCTTGGATTTTCACTAAGATGAATTGAGAAGGCGCCTGGGCCATGGTGGCATGCCTGTAAATAATACTTTTATTCTCTCCATATATTGCCAACCTAGGCTCTAACTCACCTATCTAAGTGGGATTAAAAGAGACACACCCTGCAGCCCAGCTACACTTATTCGGAACCTAGATCTTGTCTGAGTTCCCTCCTGATGGCTGGGGACAGAGGGGAGGGAGGAGCTTGGCTCAGAAACTGGTCCCCAGCAGCTGTGCCTGGCCTCTGGGCAGTCTAATGAACAAGATGGTACCCTTGAAATTCTTCGACCACCTCAGGCTTGGGGAAATTTTGGCGTTTGCCTTAGCATGATAATAACAGCCAGTACTGACTAAGGGTTTACTATGGGCTGGGCACTGTTTAAGGATGGACTGGCTTTTAGTTTTCAGGATAGTGGTAATTGAGATGACATTTTTTCCAGAAAATTATATTTTAATTTTCAAATAATTATGATAAATGGGATATTTGTAAAAGACTCTTCAGACAATCATATAAGGTAGAAAGTAAGCTCCTTTGAGGGCGGGACCTGTGTTCAGTTCATCTTGTTCCCACAGACACATTCCATGTCCCATTGTTCAGAGGCAAGCCCTGTTAAGAGTGTAGACTGTCTCCTTTAAGAGGTGGAGGGGCGGGCCTGGTGGCGCGCGGACATGGCACCACTTGGCACACCATGCTGTGGTAGGCGTCCCACATATAAAGTAGAGAAAGATGGGCACAGATGTTAGCTCAGGGCGAGTCTTCCGCAGCAAAAAGAGGAGGATTGGCAGTTAGCTCAGGGCTAATCTTCCTAAAAAAAAAAAAAAAAAAAGAGGTGGATAATTTCTTGACTAATTGAACCACATAGAATAATTAATGTGGGACACAAGTTCCAGATGAAATCTAGCCGTTTCTGGGGCACCCAGTGAAGCCCTAGCCTTAATACAGGCCCCGAGGCTGCAAGTGACCAATAATTGGTCCCAGGTTGATGCTTGTTATCAGTGGGTGGGAATGGAAAAGCTGCTCCTGGGGGAAGAGCTGGGCCTGTTTCTTTATTTCCTTTATACCACACACCTGACTGACCCTTATAACATTAGGCTTGCAGAGGAAGCCCAAAATATTGGGGAAGTGTAGGCGTCATCTCATTCTCTCAACAAGCCTCATCAGGAAAGGCTCATGGTGGCATCATGGAAGCCCAGGACAACAGGCACAAGAGGGAACGGGAGTCCGACACAGAGAGTGACACCAACTCTGAGTCAGGCTTGGACCCAAACAGGACAACAGAACCGACATCTGCAGTAGAAGGTGTGAAGGAATTCTAGAACTAAATAACCAGGAGGGGCTAGGGACAACCTACAGGGGCTTGAGGTGCCCCATCATTGGGGAGATGGTGTGTTAAGCTTTTCACTATTTGTCTAGTGTTTATTAAGTGTTTATTTTATGCCTAGGACTCTGCAATGAATAGAACATGCATGGCTCAAAGTATTTCACATAGATTAACTTTCTGGACAACTGGAAGTTTTGATTTGCTTAATCTTAAATACTATTCATGGAACATTTTCTAATATCATATTTGTTACACAGTTTTTGAACTGCATACTAACAACAGGTTGTGCTTTACTGACGACTTGGGATCCCCATCTTATTTAAGGTTGCCAGATAAAATACAAGACACCTAGTAAAATTTGGATTTCAGATAAACACAGGCAATATTTGGAACATACTTGTACTAACATTATTCCTTGTTTAAATGAAATTCAAATTTAAGTGGGTGTCTTATGTTTTTATGTGTTAAATCTGGCAAGCCTACCATTATTATATGGTGCTGTAATAATACAGCGATGCCTCAGCTGCAGTTGGGCTGATTGTCCTCACACTTCGGTGGCTCAAGGCTGTTGGATTTTTGAATTTTGTGGTCATTTTTTACAGTCTCTTTCTTTGCTATGCAGTGATTGGACTGCTTGTGGTAGTCAGTGTATACCGCATTTTCCTTTTCTCCTTTCCTCCTACTTGATTCTTCTGATTGGCTTGGGCTGGGAAATAAGATCTCCAAAAGTGATTAACTTTTCTGTAGTAAGAGTAAACAGTCTGAGTAAGGATACAGGTACTCACGGAAAGTATGCTAATTTTAAAATAAGGACTTCATAAAAACTTCTTTTGACTGCCAGAGACTTTCCTGTGGTTTCTTTCGAAGTCCTGCAGGATAAGCGAATCATAGCTTGTTTCCTGGAGCGGCGCACTTTTCTTCATAGAGCACTATACCAGTAGAAATCAGCCTCTGATGGAGAAGAGGTTACAGCTAGATAGAAGAGAATTTGCAGCTGGATTTTGGATGTTGTCTGAAATTCTTTAGAAAGAGTCAGATAGATACTGATTTGGCCTGAGTAGTTTACAGGTAAACATGCCTTAAGGCTGGCAACTAGACTAGGTGACCTCTTGAAATCACTCACAGATATATGGTTTTGATAACTCTATGATCTATCCAATCAACTCAAAATAACAACCACATCCAAAAGAATGAAAGCAAAATAAAATTAGCCAGCATCACATCTACAACGAAAAGTAGTATGTATTCCAAATACAGTGCTTAGAAGAGGTTTCGGCCAGCCTGCAAAATCTTACATGGAAGGAACTACAATGTGTACTCTTCTCTACTATACTCATTTACACAATGATTAAACTTTTTTTTTTGCCCTAGGCAATGCTTGTTCTGAATATAGATTTGAAGTGACTCCTGAACTGGAGCTGCTGTTCCTAATGCTGAGCCTACGATTACTCAAACTCAGCATGCAAAGTCAGCAAACACCTCTCCACACCTTACATATTTGCACTTATCTTTATTTGACGTCAGAAAAATTGTTTGAAAAATGATTTATGGTACAAAGAGGATCTTCAGGCTCAGGATGATGAGATCTTGTGTCATCCACCTATGTCTACTTTTACTGGCTTTAGCCAAAGAATGAGTCATCAGAATCAGATCCCGGGGAATATTTTGGGAGGTGTTAGAAAAGTCTAATACCAACCAAAGACAAGCATCTTGGTAGAACAGTTTGATTTTCTTCAGAGGCATCTAAGATTGTGCAAATCAGAAAATACTTCCTAGATTGTCACAAAACTATTCTAAATATTTCAAGCCTTTGAAACCTGTTATAGGGCTTTTAGTCACAACAAGAGCAACCCTGGTCAGTGTAGGTCACTGGAGCCAATAGCTGTACTATGTATTTACATTCATGTGACCTGATTCAACATATTAGTGTGTTAAATATAGTTTTCTTTTCCTCTTGATCAACAAAATAAAGATTCACTTCTAAACTATATTAAGATTTATGGGCTTGAAAGTATTATTTTTATTTATTTTTTGAGTTCATAATAGTTTACATCATTGTGAAATTTCAGTTGTAGATTATTTCTTGTCTATCACCACATAAGTGCTCCCCTTCACCCCCTGTGCCTGCCCCCCACCCCCCTTCCCCTGGTAACCACTGAACTCTTTTCTTTGTCCATGTGTTTGTTCATATTCCACATATGAGTGAAATCATCTAGTGTTGGTCTTTCTCAGTCTGGCTTATTTCACTTAGCATAATTCCCTCCAGGTCCATCCATGTTGTTGCAAATGGGATGATTTTGTCATTTTTTATGGCTGAGTGGTATTCCATTGTATATATATACCACATCTTCTTTATCCAATCATCAGTGGATGGGCACTTGGATTGTTTCCCTGTCTTGCTATTGTGAATAGTGCTGCAACGAACATAGGGGTGCATATATGTTGCTTATTTTTATCTTTAATTTTAGTCTAAGAAAGATTTTTTTAGGTTTTTTTCTTTTTTCTCCTTCAACAGCATTCTTCTATCCTAAAAGGGTTGCTATACTATTTCGGTAGGTAACTGTCTTAGGGACAAGGATAACGTAGGCTACTGAGAGGATAGGGTGATTTTAAAATACTGAAGAAACATTCAATGGGTATTTGTTGAAGTGTGCAAAGGACTATACTATTGGCAACGAGCTAATACGTACTGTGGTGGGAGAGGCAGATTCACGCACAGAGAATTCTATTACAGTATGGTGGGCATGATGATGAAGATTTGCAGGTAGGCGCCTCTTTCTATGCGAATCTGTAAAACTGATTCAGCCTGGAATTGTTGGGGGAAGGCTTCCTATGGGAGTTTATACCTGGGTTGAGTCTTAAAGGGCAAGCAGTCAGGCAAAAAGTATGGAGCAGAGAGCCTGAGCGAAGATACAAAGATGAATAGGGAAGGGGTCCCTTTTTTCCTCTTAGCTTCTGAACAGGTACCTTAGTCATTGGCAGAAGGGGAGGCTGCGCCAGCCCCGTCACTGTTTCATCATACAGAGAGCGTTTTGCAGATATGCTGTGCCATGGTGATCGCATAAGCAGCCATTATGACGGAAATGTCAAGTTTACCAGATGTCCCATACCACCTTTACACACAACTCTTTCCCCATTTTCCAGGCAGTCCAGTGTAACTCAAATGATAACCACAATCCCCCTGTATTAGTTTCCTAGGTCTGCCATAACAGTACCACAAACTGGATGGCTTAAACAATAGAAACTTATTGTCTTACAGTTCGAGTCTAGATCTCTGAGATCAAGGTATCAGCAGGGTTGGTTCTTTCTGTGGATGGTGAGGGAGAATCTTCCATGTCTCTCCTAACTTCTGGTGGTTTGCTGGCAATCCTTAGCTTTCCTCGGCTTGTAGACGCAGCACCTAGATTTCTGCCTTCACGTCACGTGGTGTTCTGCCTGCCTGAATCCAATTTTCCCCTTTTTTAATAAGGATATTAGTCATATTGGATCACGGGCCCACAGAACTCCACTGTGACTTCATCTTAACTAATTATATCTGAAATGACCCTATTTCCAAATATGGTCATATTCTGAGATACCTGGGGTTAGGACTTCAACATATAAATTTTGAGGAGACACAAATCAGCTCATAACACTCCCTTTCCAATGTAAGCACTATAATTTAAGGTCAAATCTTAATTCCAGAAAACACTTAACAGGAACATAAATGCCTTGTTATTTGTTTTCCATGGGTTAACCTATCTTTTCCTACTTATTTACATAAAATATGTATATTCTGTTAATTTCACCATATCATAGATTTCATAGAGTGCTTAGAATTTAGTAAAAATTTACCTATTGGGTGTCACAGTAAAGCTGCTGTTTTATTAAACACTGATCATTTTTGAAATATATTTTCCAAACAGTATAACATCTCAAAATAAAACTAGCTCACTTAGTTGTTGACACAATCAGTGTGATCAGGACTGCTGATCTTTGAGGCGTCAAACAATTCTATAAAACAAGAATAAATATATCGAACTACTGTCCAAAACTGGTATAAAGAATAAAAGACAAAGTGGTACAAAACTTCTTTTAGTTACTGAATAAATGATAGGAATACATAAGCACTGGAAGCCAGTATTTGATATCTATGAACATTTTATAATATGGCATTCACATAGATAAGTAGTTTTGTACTGGACTGGTGATAGTTTTTTGCATAAATCACCTTTTTATTAATGCTGTATTTGACTTATTTTAGGTACCTGATTAAAAGTGAAACTTTTAGAAAAAATATTTTTCTCTGCTTACAAAATGGGTCCAACATCTGCTCCCTAGAGATTTCACTACGTCTTTCAATTTTTACCGTTCACAAGATACACCAATATTCAATAGAGATAATACAATTTTTGATATCACTCACTTTTTATCCGAAGCAAACAATTTGGTACTGTACGTCGTTTAAATCTTATTCATTTACAGGATAAAGCTGGCTTTGCAAAATTTAGTAAGCGGCTGCAAACAGCTACCTGGGAAGGACAAGGATGGAGTTCAATCAAGGATCCGGTAACCTGATACTATTACGTTGTTCTCTCTAGCAGTCCTAAATAGGTTCCATAATCTTATTATTTCCTAGCCCTTCGATGTGACAGGTTTTGTTCTTGGCATTCATTACGGAAATTAATCTGTCTTGGACTGTTAGGTTGGCTTAGTTTTCTATTTCCTGGTTGTTCAATCAGTGTGGGAGCGGTATCCGGACAACTAATGTCCTGAATTTTAAAGGTATTTTAAGGCCGCTTTCCCTACGGGTTTGCCTTCCTCTCTCACACTCTCTCACAGCTTTTTCTTTTTTTCTCTTTTGCTTAGTTCCTTCTACACTCAAGCTGTGTAGGGGATTTAAATTCCAACCCGGAACTGAGAGTCGCGCGCCTTGAATGACGGGAGTCGTAGTTTCCGTGACTCCTCCCTAACCGCTTTTCACGGGGATTCTTCCTCACAGTGAAAAACTACAACTCCCAGAATGCGCCCTCGTGGTAGCCACCCTATGCGCACGCGTCCTGAGGCCGCAGGATTTGAATCGGCGGCGTTGTTATTGACGCCATATTGGGGCCGGCGGCGGGTGGAAGAGTCGTACAGTGGAAGGGGAAGCGGCTGGACGTGTTCGCTGGAGCTCCGGCCGCCGCCGCTACCTCGCAATCCCTCCGCATCGACCGCCGCTCTCGAGCTTCTGCCCCTGCCCAGGCGTCTCGGGAGCCGCGTCCCGGCCTCATACCTCACGAAGCTGGTATCGACTTCCGAAGGGAGCCGGTGTCAGCGCAGGAGCGCCTCAGGCGCGGCGCAAAGCTCGAACGGACGGCGGGGGCGGCCGGAGCCTCTCCCGGGGGAGCCGCGCCGGAGCAGGCGGAAGAGCCCCCCTGACGCGGCGGGCGCGAGCTGCCGCCACCGCCCCTCCCGTTCTCGCCCGCGCCGGCCCGGGCCACTGCCCTGCCGCGGAGGCAGCGGCGGCTCTCGTCTCCCAGCCGGCGTCCGCCAGCCGCCCTCCTGCTCCCGAGCCCGTCGGTTAGGCTCCCCTCGCGTCCTCACTCGCCCCCTCCCTTCGCCCTCCCCGACCTCACCCAAGCCCGGCGCCTCCGCCGCCCCGGCCATGGCGTGCGGAGCCACTCTGAAAAGGACTCTGGATTTCGACCCTCTGCTGAGCCCGGCGTCCCCGAAGCGGAGGCGATGTGCGCCATTGTCGGCGCCCACCTCAGCCGCCGCCTCCCCGTCGTCGGCCGCCGCGGCCACGGCCGCCTCCTTCTCGGCCGCCGCGGCCTCACCGCAGAAGTATCTCCGAATGGAGCCGTCCCCCTTCGGCGACGTCTCCTCCCGCCTCACCACAGGTGGGACTCGGCCCGCGGCCGCCCGGGGGGTGAGGGGACGGGGTCCCGGGGCGCGGGATGCGGCCGCAGCGGGGGTGCCGGACGCGTCCTCCTCTCAGCGGAGGAGTCGGGCGACCACCTTCTTTCGAATTAGCTCGTCCGGCCTCGGAGACACAATAGAGATGGCCTGATGTCAAGAGAGGGGGGCGTTGGGGCGGTGGGTAGGGGCCGTGCCTTGCCGGGTGTTGTGGGGAAGAGGAAGATCCTTTTCTTTGGGCCGAATGACTGGAATTGAGTGTTTCCGTAGTCTGGAGAGCCCCGGCGGAAATGATCCGGGAGGGCGATATTATTCATAAATTCGGGCGAGGGGTGGGTCACGTTTCCCCCGAATCTCCGTGCCTCGTCTCCCAGAATCGGTCGGCTGCAGCTTTTCACTCTGGGACTGGGGGGTTCGAGGCGAGGCGGCAGCCCCTTCTCCAGTTCAGACATGGCTGATTTTAGTACAGAGGGGGTGGGGGGTGGGGATGGATGTCACCGGGGCGCGATCTAGGCCTGTCATTAATCACCCACAAGAACGCCACTTTGGCTGAGTCAAGACCTGTTTCCCTAGCAGGGTCAACAACAAAGAAAATGCTCTTCCCGAGTGCTGTAATATGATCACGCTATACGTTCAGACCTTGAGAAACTTGAACTTTTAAGGAAAAGCACATTGTATCGAAAATTGGGCCTGAGTATTGGCGTGTAGTTGGAAGTGTGTTATTTTCTGCCCAGCGCAGTATGTTGGGAGAAAAACAGCCTTGAGAATAATAAAGAAATCAACCCGAGATTCCAAAGGACTTCAGACGATTTTTGCTTTTCATCTTGAAACATTTCCTGAAAGTGACTGTGGGGAAATGCCTTTTGGCTGCTTCGTACCGCGTGTGTATGCCCAGTTTTTTCTGTACTTTGAAAATCCTTGTGTGCCCCTGGCACAGTCCCGAGATAGGCTTTTGTGGACTGGTAGTGTAAATCTGTCTCCTTTGTGTGTGTGATATGCAAAGGTTTTGTGTTTGTTTCTTTGGTAATAATATGACCTGTAGACAAAGCTTTTTCATAGTTTGATTTAAATGTTTCATCGTTAGCTTAAAAAAAATCTGGGCATATATACCTTTATATTCGGGGACTTCTACTTGGAATTGACTAAATTTTGTTTTGTTTTTTCAGGTCAGGTTTTAAAATATCTTTGCCCAAATTTACAGGGAGACGTTCAAATGCCTAGGCTACCATTTTTTGCTATTAAATCTTTGACCTAACTTAAAGATATACTATTTTAGAGTTGTGGCTAGTTTGGAAGAATTCCAAGATAGCTTTAAAGCGAACCTAAACTGTCTTCTGTATAAAGGCATTCATTGATTTATTGTTAGGCTATACATTAAAGAAGAAACAGTCATTGTTAAGAATGGGCTCCTGGTGGTTAACATTATTTTTAGAATTTGTCTTTTTCAGTGAAATGGTATCATTGAAAATTGAAATGATACCATGGAATCTGTACTTAACAACTAATAAAGCTACTTAAAAATAGCTCTGGCTAACCAGCAGTAAATTTCTGTCGAGGGAGTGAATTAATACAGTGTTAGGTTTGGGAGCTGAAATATATCTCAATGCTGAAATAGTCTGGAGCGTAGATGGCAAACCAGCCAGCGGCTATAACATTTGTCCTCACTTTAAAGGAAGCTTATTCAGAAAGAAATGTGATCCTTTGCAGATTTGTCGTTTCATTGATATATCTGTAGCTTGGCTAGTGTGGTTTGCCCTGAATTTTCTCAAATTTCAATTAAGTGGACTATATGCTGGTAAAACAGCTGGAATCATTGGAGTTGTTTAAGCCTGCTGATTCAAATTCACTTTTTCCAAAATACTGCAGTGTCTTCCATTTTGGACATTTACTCTGGAAGTTTGGTCATATCCTGAACTCTAAAAATCACACCATAATTGATTGTTATTGAGTCTCCTGAAAGTTATTAGCTATTTCAACTAATTTGAATCTTAACATTAAAAGTTGACTTAGAAAAGCAGATAAAATTGCTCAAGTTTTGAATTGCTAAAATTTACCTTTACTGTTATTTTGAATGACTTTCTATACGTAATTTAATTTGACTGTGTTTACATGGCCAATCTTGGGCATGCTCCTGGTTTTGTAAAAATGTTGTCATAATGGGAGCTGCAGTGTTGTGCAGGTATCAAAGAGCTTCCCAGTTTTCATGTCACCACACTTGGAAATAATTTTCACACGCACCTAATTTTTAGATTCCTATTTTAACAGTGGTGATTCTTAAACTTAGCAGAGTGAGTACTTGTATATCCTTCGCTGAAATAAGTAGATAGGATTAGAAATGGAAAGTGACTTAGCAAATTGAGATTGACTGGGACTCTGTGGAAACTGTTTTCCTTTCGTTTCTATGAGTTCAACGAGAAATTGAAATAGTTTAGAACTAGAGTGCTGAAGTGAATTTTTTTCAGAGCATGTATATAAATTTACCATTATCATCATTCTTCGCTGGATACTTTTACACAGTGTCTTCTGATGTGTTATTGAAGTCATGTTTCAGCTTTACTAGTCATTTCAGGAACTTGGACATCTGTTTTAAACCCTAGTTTATTTTAGTCATCCCAGGAAGGTAATTCCAAAGTTTGTCTTGATGACTATTATTTAAATCAATATTTTTCACACCGTTGCAACTTAATGCTAGGAAAAAGGAAAGGGCTGGCAAATGAATTTTATTGGAATGCAGCCATGCTCATTCTTTGTTATTTATTTTTTTAAGTATTGTCCATTGCAGGCTGCAGTAGCGGAGTTGAGTAGTGACAGCGGCTGTATTTTCCCAAAGCTCAAATATTTACTGTCTGGTCTTTACAGAAGAAGTTTACCTACTTCTCTCTAGGGTGTCAGCAGTGAGGTTTATAATACCCCTGGATGTGGAAAAGGAAAAGTGAATGATGAGTGGAGGTATTGGGGGCGGGGGAAAGCATTGAATATGGTGGGAAAAATGAATGCTTCTACTAGCTACACCAGTACTCATTCTGGTATGTTAGTTGAAAACAGATTCAAAGTGTTTTGTTTTTCTTTATTGGTTTTTGAAACAGCTCAGAGTATTACCATTTAGCCAAAAGATTATGACATTCTCAAGGAAAAAATTATTTTAATAAAACCAAAATATTATGTAACATTACAAGAGACTGTCAGTCAAATCCAACGTGGTGTTTTTCATAATTGTGTAGTGAATGAATGAATGGTCTGGTGAAGAGATGCTTCTATGGCTGTCAACCTCTGTGAGTTTGGTAGGTGACTTTTATGCACATTGTTTGTTTTGTTATCATTGCTCTAGTCTGCCCTAGGAATTGAGTTGGATGAAGAGTTAAGTTCATTTGAAGGAACTCGTTGTATTTGCTGGAAACTTGCCATTAAAAATGGAAATTGCATCTTGTGAATGGGGAAGGGTGTACAGGAACTTAGATTGTTCAGTAGACATTGATGCATGCCTGCAAACGGAGATACCAGCTGGCTTAAATGAAGTATAAATGGTTCTAGGCAAACAAATGAGATGTCTGTTGGAGGAGGCAGCATTTCACTTCAGATGTCATTTATACTGAGCCAGAAGTGTTTTTAATATTTTGTGGTTGTTTAGACAGCTGTTATAAGTTGCCTCTGGTCTCTCAGTGGATTTGGCAAATAAACTGTTTTTAATGGTCTTTGTACTTTGGATTTTAAACCTGATACTTTGTTTAGGACTGTGTGTGTAGCTGGAGTTATTTCGTAGTTCTATGAATTATGCGTTTAAGAATCCTGTAAATTTATGGCCATTGAAAGTGCACAGTTGTATTAATTATTGAGCTATTTTGTTTTGAAAGTAGAAAAATAAAGCCTATCTTGAGCACAGAAACACATAGGGTAAACCATGGCTAGATCAGAGAGAGGTTGGTTAGCCCTTTAGATATAGAATCTACTAGTTATCATGGTTGCTGAAGAGACATAATCTGAGATGTAAGGGAGAATAATACATTTCTTCAGTTCTCAAATGGCTTTATAGGAAAAAGAATATACGTAATGTGTTACTCGGGCAGGCCTTTACTAAGTGTTTAGGTACACCCAGGAAGACAGAATGATAGAAACGCTTTTGTTTT